CCACATATGCTGGACATGCTGACAGCAGGTGCATCATGGTCCCAGGCGCCTCGCGGAAGGCCCTGCACCTTGTGTCAGGAACCTCTATACCCATCATGCAACTACGGTAGACTAAGGTGTTGAAGACATCATCCTGGCAGGTCATGATGAACCCCTTAGTTTCACACTTCGGCGCACTTGATTTGAAAAATGCGAAGGTCAGGCGCTTTGATTTGCTGAGGTCGTCAATGTTGTTGAAGAAAACCCCATGCATTGGTTTATCCTTGTGTTGCCGCAGGAGTAAAACTATCTCTGCGGTTTTCCTATGGTCCCGGACCATGCAGAGAAAGGGATCCGAACTTCTGATGACTTATTATTATTATTATGATGACTTATCAATATTAACATTATTAGTATCAATATTATCATAGAGTGTGAAAATTGCACCAATTCAATTCAATATTTTTCATTATGAATTATTCTGGAAAAGTTCGGCTAGTTGCTACTACTTTCTGATTAAAACTTACATCTTCTGTATAGTTCATATCTATACTTCCAGCTATCTGCGTTGCGGATCCTCTGAGGAGCGAGTCAAATATTTGAGGTCTCAGAATAATTTCTGGTTTGTTGAAATGCTCATGTAGTCTTAGAGTGGAAGAAGAATCTCGTGATTCATGAACAAGGCTAAAAAAGAATTGACATCACTTGTAAAAATGTCACTGTTTTAAAGAATACATGAAGGAAATGTTGAGAAATATTTTTCAAACATGACAAATCGTCATGAAAATTTTTGTCCTAACCTCACTAATATGGCCTATAGAACGAGGATACACCCATTTCTTTTTCTATATTTTGAACTTTCAAGGTTTGGGTTGAAATCTAACATCTTTCAAGTATTGAGGGGTGGATGATGTGAAACACATTTCACAGATGGTCTTTATAAAAAAAAATGTTCCTCAATATTTTCACAAAATGACATTATCCAGTCTATATATTTTTCAATCATTAATTTTTCATGACGACAAAATGGTAATTTTATATATACCAGACTTGTCTGTTTGCTCATGAATGACTCGTCAACAAATGACGTAAAAATTATACAAAGTGTTAGGTCAGTTACTGCCATTGTTAGTTGCAAAAACGGTAATGATATAAGATCGCTGAATGTTTTTTTTTAATATCACTTTTTCAGTATTTGAACAAATTTCAACTTTCAGTCAAACCAACAAAAGTGTTTTTATAGTATGAGTCTTTTTCAAACAAATGCTTGACGTAATTCTT